TCACTGGGGTTTCTAGTGAGGACACCAACAATGGTGACTGCTGAAGAAGCTCCCGCTCCTGAAATGTAAGCCTAGCTCTGACTTCATCACTCAGTTTATCTTCAAAGAAAAAGAATGACCCATTGTAACAATGTGAAGAGGAAAAGGAGACGTTGAGAGAACCTGTGACTTTGTGCACAACTATGAATAAAACTGGAGAATATTTCAAAATGTTTTAAAGCTGGAGGAGGCTGAGAGAATTATTTGTAAGAGTTATAACCTCAAAAGAAAAGGCAGCCAGGGTTGGAGGACCAGTTTTGCAATGCTTGAATGCTATAATTCAGCCTGTGCTCTCTTGTATTAAATTCATGACAACTCAACAGTATTTCAGTGCAGTTTTTTATCAGTTTTAGATTACATCATGCTGTGAATTGCTCTATCTGTTAGCACTGACCCTTGTAAATCATTTGGTTTGAGGTCTTCAAATGGAAAACTATGATGGACTTCAGCATGCAATGTACTCATTTTGTCCTTGAAAATCATTTAAAAATAAAGCAGCTGCAATCACATAGATGTTATTACTTTTCTGAAAGGCTAGATTTACCTCTCTGAATTGTCATTAATTGGATGAAAGCCTTTCATAGAAAGAATGAGAATAGAGAAAAAAATTGTGGGTTCATGCTTGGTGTTGACTGAGGGAGTCATAGAGAGGCTGCATGTCTGAAGAGATGTGTAGCCCAAAGCCTGCTGCAAAGAAGGCATGGTGCTTTTAATGAGAGTAACCAGAGCAGCAGAATTTATGGCTAAATTCTTTATGGCTAAATTTATGGCTGGATTTTTTTATTCTTAATTGCTTCAGTTTTGCTTGAATATGTACTTCATTCCCATCCATGTTTTCCAACTGTTGCATGGCTTTGCTTTGAACTGAGAAGTATTTGCTGTGCTCTGCCTGATGAGTTGCACTTGTTCATCCATTTCTACTGGGCTGACGTTTCTGAGTGAATGTTCTTTTTTGATTTGCAGATTCCTTCGGGATCCTTCAGAAGGTGTGCACCGAACTGTGAGATAAATTGAAGCTGTTCTGGAAAAAAAATGGAAGTAGCACTGTGACATGTTAGAGATCATATTTGGTCTTTACCCACTCCGTTAACTAAGAGAAACTCCCACCTGAATCCATTTGGTTTTGCTGAAAATTGATGGGAGATGGAACCAAGAAGATACAATTATAGAGATGATGTCCACGAGTAAGGCAAGGTGGTGGAAGTGGTGTTCTGCTGCTTGCTGAAGGACTAGGGAGATTTCTAAACTGTTTTACCTGTAGGGAAAGAGAAGACTGCACCTTCCTGGCAAAAATGGCAATAAGCACGGCAAAAAACTGGTGAGTTTTCTGTCTCACACTCAGTTCCTTAAATCTGGACTGTGCTTCTTTTGGAGCACGTCCTCAAGTCCAGGCTGTAGTAAAAGTGTCAGGATTTGTCTTTGTTGAGACAGTCTCCTAAACAGAAATAATTGCCCCTCAAGAAATCATGGGGCTAAATCACAGAAAAATCTACTTTAAGCATCTGAAATTAGGCATACAGCTAATGTGCTACTTTGTTACAATACCTTGTTGTGGAAGGATATAGATTTGTCCCTCCTCTTCATGCTGATCTAGGTGTGATCCAGCAAAAATCCAGCTGGTGATGAGGAAAATTGAGCTTACAATTGGAAGTTTCCTGTCAGCACATCACAAAAAAACCCTTATCTAAACTCTTTACTACAAGCTGAGCTCAGTCATCCTGAGGGCTCTGAATCTGCATTGCCAAAAGAGGGCACATAGGTTGGAACCATTTAATTCCTACCATGTACTGCAGCTAGAGTTTCAGAAAAGGCCAGGGACTTGGCTTTATTTTATTAGCTGATTTGTTTTGGGGGTCCTAGAAGGTCCTTGACTTTCTCAGACTGGCCTAGTCAGCCTTTCCTGAAAACAAAACTCTACTGATGCTGTCATTATGTTTTTAAGATCTCAGCCAATTTGCAGGTGCATGAACATAGCAACAGACACAAACACATAGATACAGACATATGTATTTCACAACTACTATATACAGAATACAGAACAGGAGGTGCTAGTCTTTTCTTGAAAAAGGCATGCAACTCTCAGTGCTGCAAGTATATCTTTTTCATTTAACCACCAAAAAACCAGAAAAAAATAGGGTCTGTTTCTGACCAAGGAGTACGCAATATGCTCCATTTTATGAAATGTATAAGCCTGCCCATCAGCTGGCTATTTCTCTAATACAACAAAACAATTAGAACATTTCTTACCTTTTTTTTTTTTTTTTAGTGAAATGAGAACTTTGTTTTTGTTGAATGAGTCACTTTTCACAGCTGTTATTACTTGTTCAGCCTACTGAGTTCACAATAGTAACTGAAATGTCCTCAGACATACAGATGGGAAAATGGCCTGTAAGTCTTTATTGTTATAAACGATTTGTAAAACTTTAGATGCTAAAAGGTAAGAGTAGTTTAAATAAATCTCAACAATGCTGACTCAAAGGTTTAAAGCATTACTTAAATCCCTTGATTAACCCAGCTTCTCAATATTTGACATGAATCCATAACTCTGAGATGTCTTTTCTGTTCTCTAGCTTTGTAAATATTTACACAGCCAGTCCCATGAAATATGACATTTAATCCTGTTGAATTATTTGAATGCTGCATATGAAGAGATAGAAAGTATAATAGTTCCAGTGATGCTAGTTAAATAATTAGCACTGAGGATGAAATATGCTGCATTTCTTTTGTCAAAAGCTAGGATTTGTACAATATAAATATGAGTAAATGGAAAGCAAAATCCACTTTCTTTCCCAAATCTTGGACCAGCTTCTGGAAATGAAGGTTTCTTTATCCTGTCTCATGCCTGGGCCTATGCCTCAGCATTGATAGCAGCCTTTGTTCCAGTTAAATGAAGTGTTCAGAGCTAGAAGAAAGGCAATAGTGAAGGGATGGCACCTCTATTAGCTTGTCCTCTGCCTTTCCCTTCTGGGGCACGCTATAATGAACGGTTTCTGCACTCCGGGAAGCAGGAACATGCTCCACCAGGTTTCCAGGACCTGGGGAAGACTTCTGTAGGAATCCGAGTGCAATAGGATGATACCAGCCCTCCAGACTGTGGCTGGAATTCCAGTTAAGATTTGCAGCAGGTTTGTATTTAAATGATTTAACTTGAGGCACAGTGATATGCTTGTTCCTATGACGCTGCACTTTTAGTCATTGTTTACTGATTCAGTCTGATTCATCTGTGGGTTCTGCCAGGTTTTGCAGTTGTAGTCTTTGCCTCTAGGTAGCCCAGCAGTAGAAGGAACTGGGAAATAATGAGGAAGCAGAGAAGGATCACAGTGGGACAAGATATTCAGAGTTGGCCTGCAAGAAATCAGAGTTGAGTCTTCCTTAAGAAATGCTCCATTCTCATACAAAGTTGGACCTTTCTGCTCTTCTAGGATGAAATCTCATCCTAAGAGGGCCTACAGTAGCATGTTTATTGGCTTTCCTATGGAGCAGTGAGAAAAAAGGGGGGTCCAGTTCTCAAATCTATAACAAAGACCTTTTTTTCATTGAAAATTTTCCAACTGTAATAAAAAATACAATAGATTTCTGCAAGTTCTTCTGAAATTGTTCGCCAGCTTATCCTGCCTGTTAAAAAGTGGAGGAAATGGTTGATTGTGTGGTAGGAATTCAGGATGTGGGCCAAGGTGTTTCCTAATTGCTTTATCATGCCAAGCCCCTTCAGAAGCCTTCATTATATAGAAAGGTTTCCATGCAGAAGTGCTGAGGTGGTGCTGTGCTCGTGTGGCCCAGTTTGACCACTGCATCATCCAAGCAGACAGATGCATGCTGCAAAGGACAGTGCAGCACAGAAAAGGTGACGGGGCAAGTCAGTGAAATCATTCTGTTTTCCTGAGTTTATGCTTGTAAAGCCCTTAGGAGGGATTTTGACCATTATATCCACAAATATGTATAATTCTGGCTAGGGCAAAATCCAGATGATTGCATTTGTGTTACTAATGGAATCTTCTTCAGCTTTGTTTCCATATTCTGTTGTATTGCTTCTCTTATTGATTATCTGTCCCCTCTGAACCCTCGGCTGAACAGGATCTGCAGAATGCTGCTTATATTTAGGGATGTACTTTCAGGTACTTTGGAACTGAAAAAAAGAAAAGATGTTTCTGAAAAAAAGTTTACATTTTCAGGTACACCTGAAAGTTTTGAGATTTGAGGGGATTTGGTCTAGTTGGAAATCAGGCTAGAGATAATATATCAAAGCATAAATTAAAACTTTCAAAGATGAAAATATAAAACTAATTATATTGGTTAAGAAAAGATAAAATCTTTTGCTTACTCTGGCCAATTAATGTTAATGTGTAGACATCAAGTTAACAAGTACATAAAATAGCAATGGGACAAATTAAGAGAGAAGTCTTAATGTGCATAGACATTTGCTCAGTCAACCAAAGTTCCTAAAGGCTCAGCTGCAAGTCTGGAAACATAAACACTGTTGTCTAAAATAGAAAATGTTATTTTTGATTTTTTTCCTCTTTCTTCATTTTGTGTTTTACCACAGAACCAAACCAAAAAAAGCCACAGGTAATGGTCATGGAGTGCTTGAAGAGCATCTGCCTTCCCTCATCACAAAGTGAAGGTATGTCAGACACTTTTAGCTGCAAAACATACATGCAGGAATCACTGTGCGATTAGCTGTGGGGACTCAGTGATCCGATCAATCTTTTGTGTATCTCTTGTTCATAATAATTATTTGTACTTAAAAGAAGGAATAATTTGAGAAATGGTTGGTTTGGGGTTTCTTTTCCCCCTTAGGTGCAGAGCAGAACTCAGAATTCTTATGGCAACAAAAGGCCAAAGAGCACATGAGGTGAGATGACAGATTGGGGTAAAGCACGAGCAGCCAGCTCACAACAAGCGAGTTCATTGCGTGACAGTCTTCCTGCTCTTCCCTAGGGAGTGAGCAGAATGGTTCAAGAAGGAGCAGATGGAAACAGCTGCCAACAGATGAGTACTGGAATGGATTCAAGCCACACTACTTGCTGGAACTTGAGAGTTTGTGAAGGCCTGAGCTTTCCCAACCACAGGTATCTAAGATTTGGAACCAGGCAGCTGTCAGTCAGTTCTTATTTATGAGGACCAGAACAAAACTCCACTGTTGTCCTATAGAGTGGGGAGTCTTTTAAGCTGTGGTTGCAGACAGTACTAAAGATAAAAGAACCCTACTAAGATATTTTTCATGAATCTGTCTATCTCATAGTCCATTCACTTAAAATGGTTTTTCTCTTGACCTTGAGCTGAGATTTAACAGGTGGGTAAAAGATAAACTTAGCAAGGCCAGTGACGCAATGCTGACACTTTCACGTCTTCTTGCATAATTTTGAGCATACCATGAAGAATAATAAATGGCAAAAGCTAAAGTGTCCTTGGCAAACAAACAGAATAGCACCCTGTGATATTTTTACCTTTGTTTCCCCTTACCACACACAGTTTTTACTCCCACAGAGCTTGAAATATTAACCCAGCATGTTAATTTATTTCTTCCAGAGTTGCCCTGACCATTGCACTTAACATCTCTCTTGGAAGTACTTCAAACCAAGTGTCTGGCTCCATCTCTAGCTTTGTTAATTAGGCACATTACTTCGTTGCTTTTTTTCTTATAGCTTAATGTAATTGGCATTTGTGAAGCTTTTGAAAGGCATGTTTGGGACTACATTTTGTGCAGCTGGCTTTCAACTGCAAGCTGTTTCAAGTGTGGAGTTCTGCAGAGGACAGCCTTTGAGAGCATAGAGAGTGAGTGCCTAGCACATACCCGCTTCCTTTCCAATGGGAACAAAGGGATGTTAGTGTGACCTGTCCCATACAAAGGAACACGTGTGACACATGAACCCCCTTGCATCCATTTGTATTTCTATGCCATTAGATCTGTAATGAGAGCATTACGTGCCCTGCATGGAGAATGGGTCTCCCTTTACAAGCTGCTCTATAAATGATTTGCTCTGTGATGCTCTTCATCCTGAACTTTAGTCCACATATCAGGATGCCTTGCCAAAAAAGCCTGTAGTTTTTTTCCATAAAAATGCATCTTTGAGCATCCAAACTCAAACCATGAGCTTGTACTTGCTGTAATAATCCCAATACATTGTGTCAACCGCCAGCAAGACTGATGAATTTACACTGGGTGGGAATTTGGCTCATTGATTTCAGTTGTCACGGTGTGAAATGATACTCTCTACCTGAGCTGAGAAAGAGTTAGATGCAAGAGCTTAGGGGGAGAAAAAGGAATGTATACACTAAAAAAAAAAAAAAAAAAAAAAAAAAAAAAAAAAAAGTCGAAGTCCTGTTTTTCATGGAAATGCTGCCCTCCGGTGGCCTGGAGAAAAGCCTACACACTTCTTGTTGGTTCAAAAAGGTACTTTGACACTGCAGCAAGCTGCAGCTCTCAAATGTGGCTTGTCAGGCTCCTGCCTCAGGAAATTCACAGGTGCCATAAAAACAAGTAAAAAAATTCAGGACGAAAAGGTATTGTTTATTTGGTTTAGGATTCAGAAGTAGAGCACTGATGTGGAAAAAAAAAAGAATGTTGTGTGGCCGAAGTATAAAAGGAATCATAGAATGGTTGGCGTTGGAAAGGACCTGAAAGATCATCTTGTTCCAACCCCTCTGCTATGGAAAGGGACACCTCTCACTAGACCAGGTTGCTCAGAGTTCCATGCAGCCTGGCCTTGAACACTTCCAGGGATGGGGCACCCACAATTTCTCTGGGCAACCTGTGCCAGTGTCTCACCAATCTCACAGTAAAGAATTTCTTCCTACTACCTAATCTAAACCTACTCTCTTTCAGCTTGAAACCATTCCCCTTTATCCTGTCACTACATGGTCTTTTAAATAGTGTCTCTTCATCTTTCTTGTATTTTCCCTTCAGGTACTTGAAGGCCACCCTGAAGCCTTCTCTTTTCCAGGCTAAACAATCACAACTCTCTCAGCCTTTCCTCATAGGAGAGGTGCTCCATCCCTCTGATCATCTTGGTGGCCTCCTCTGCACTCGCCCCAACAGGTCAATATCCCTTCTGTGCTGAGGACCCAGAGCTGGAGGCACAGCTCCAGGTGGGATCCCACCAGAGCAGAATAGAGGGGAAAATCACCTCCCTTGGTCTGCTGGCCAAGATTTGTGCCCTACTGAGGGAGTTTGTCACCAGAAAATGTCACTGTGATCCTGGTGTCCTCTGCAGTTCCTCTGCATCTGCCCCACCTGCCTTCTGGACAAGCAGCCTGTCTCCCTCAGGACCACTGCTCTCAGCACAGGCCATACAATGCATTCAAAGACCTTCCATTTTCTCCCTCCTTTTGTCTTTATTTTTCACGTAAAGAAAAATAGAGTGGTGCCCTAGAATTTGTCTAGCAATAAAAAAGTCAAAACCCAACCAGCTGTACTATTCATGCAGTTTTTTCTCTCTGTTTCTGTAGAAGGTTCTTGGTAGGGAGGAAATTGGTTTTTCCAATATATTTTTCTTGATGGTCCTAGTGTATGGGCCTCCAGGTGCTGTCTGAAGACTGTGAATATTTTTGCTATTTCCGCACCAACAAACCTTACATTATGGAAAGAAGATGAAACAGAACATGGAGTTCACATGTAGTTAATATAAGGAAGAAATGTAGTTAATATTTTTTCCCAGCAGATGTGGCTGTTGGACCAGAAAAGGCTCAAGGTCAGTTCAGGTGGGTTAAGGGAGAACTGTGGAGATTGGGGGACCCCTTTTCCTGCCATGGATATGAGCACTAGGTGGTAACTGTGCTGAGACACAGGCTTCTGAGAGAATCTGACTGCCAACAAATAATAACAACATCCCAATGAAAATTGCAACCTCCCTCAGTCATGTGATTAAGTGGGTTATTGTCTGTTTTTAGTTTTTTAGTAATTTTTAAATAAATAGTTACAGTATTTACCTTGGTATTGATAAATGTGAGGTTTTGCATTGAGTATTACATAAAATAGCACGCTTGTTGATGTTGCTAAGGTGCTTGTAGATGATATAAGTAATTAGTGCTGTAGTAAGAAAATGTAAATTCAGTGCCATGTTGACTGTATTATTGGGAAACCCCTGAGGTTTTCTATCACCCCATGGTTACAGGATAGATAAATTTTCACGCCTTGCTATTGATAAATGTGAGGTTATGCATTGAGTATTAAATAAAATAGCACACTTGTTGATGTTGCTAAGATGCTTGCAGATGATAAAACTAATTAGTGCTGTAGTAAGAAAATGTAAATTCAGTTGACTGAATTATTGGGAAACCCCTGAGGTTTTCTATCACCCCATGGTTACAGGATAGATAAATTTTCACCATTAGCTTACATTGTTAAGATCTTTATTCAGAAGTGGCTGTGTATGCAAAATGTAGGTTTCTGGGTCCACAGGGAAATTTCTGCATTCCTTGTACTGGCCGAAGTGGCTCTGTCAGACATGTTCCTAAATCCTGCTGGGTCCTGGGAGGGAAAGGACTATCTGACATCTCTTCTGTATTACTCTAGGAACCATCCCCTCCCTTGTTAGCCCTGAAATGTCAAATATGGAAAGGTCTCCACTTAATGACATTCCCAGTTGTGCAACAAGCCTGTGGAGAAGGGAGCATGCTGCATCCATCAAGGAGAGGAGGTCATGGCTGTTCAACAGTTTTACTAGAAAACCAGTGATTTGAAAGGCTGAGGGAGGGTGAACTGATAGTAAATAGTGCTTAATGAGGTACTTGGATGTGCCTCCCCAGATGATCCGAGGTCATGCTGTCAGAGATTTGCACTCTAACTCTACAGAGGCCTTTTTACCTACTGCCTGCGAAGCCAAGATTGCCACATGCAAGTTATGTGAAATGACCTTCACACCATCTCCTGCTATCACAGGCTGCGTGTCAGCCACTCATTTAGGAACTGTTGTAGGCTTTCAGCACTATTATGGGGGCAGTTTCTGGACGGTACTTTCAAGATCAGGTGAGCACTAAAGCCTGGCAGCTTGTTCAGAGGGCTGTGCTCAGGGGCATCGGCACATCTGAAAGCGTTGTGACAGAAATGGGTCAGTGACCAGAGCACGAGCAAAGAGTCACAGCAGGGAGTTTCTCCTGGCTTTGCACTGCTACATGAACACTATCCCAGACAGTATTATGTGCAGTAGCCTGCAAGTATTCCTACTGAAGCTGGAAATATTCCTACTGATTTCAAGGAAATTTTTAAACAAAAATGAAATATTAATTAATCAATTCGTTAAAATTCATGAGGTATGAGGTACAAAGGTTTCGTTGTCTGTTTTGGATGTAGTTCTTCTGAAGATGGCTGTTTTGGCCCTTTGCACACTTTGAACCTTTCAAATATCTCTGCAAAATGTAAGATGTAAAATGAAAACTGCTTTTCTGTCCACTTTCAAGGGATTTTTTTTAAGGTCTTTATCTTGAGTTGAAAATGACAAGTCATTTTAGAAGAGCTTCTGGTGTGAGGCAACTGCCAATTTAACATTTCTTTAACATACTTGGATACAGATAATAAAATCTTTTTTAAAGGGAAAACATATACCAGGAATAGTTCATATATCTTTTACCTAAAATTGAATGTTCAGTTTGTGAAATACTTCTGTAGCAGTATTGCTATGATAATGCAGGAAATGGTGTTTAACATTGTTATTTGCAATTTTATTGCACTTTGTTGTGGAATATTGAAAGTAGGAAAAAGATCCTCTTCATTCTCATACTGGCAAATGATCTGATGAAATGTAAAATCGGAGCATTTATTACATGTAAGTGAGGTATAAATGTATTCCTCTTCACTTTTTCCATAGCAGTGGCTTGAGTGAGATAAACCAGTAATGATGGGTTTATCATGCAGTGCTTTCTTAAGCTACCAAATCAAATCAAACATTGCTAAAATGCACACTTAATCACTATGTTTGAAGACAGCTACTTTCCTTTATTTGTTTGTATCTGTATGACTTTGCCTTTGGAAGCAGTGTTCCTTAGGAAACATCACATTGAACTGGAAAGTTTATGTGATATAAACTTTCAGATTACCATTTTGTGTTCAGAGCCCATGCTGGAGTGTTTCTGTAGACCAAGGTAGGCTACACTTTGTCTTGTAGGATCAACCCTAAATGCCTAAACTCATCTTCAGGAGACCAATTTAAGAACAAAAGTTTGTATATGTTGGATCAGCCTTGCATATGCTCCTTGGCTGTGTCAGAACTAAACTAAAGCTCTGAATCCAAATATTACTAGCCTCAAAATATTTACTCATAGACTGGGATATATTTCTATCAGTTACATGCTGTCCTCTTGATGCACAGGGTTTTGTTTTAAATATATTTATTACCTTAGAAATAAACAGAAAAAATGGAACAGGTGAACAATTTTTCTTATCTAAGTAAAAAAAAAAAAAAAAATTTGTAACCTAAACATGTATTTATCAGTGCTGACGCCCTTTGGCCTTACTCCAGTGAACTTTTCTCACTGACATCAATGGGAGAAAGATGGACTCTGCATAGGAAACCTATGAATATTTTTTCCTCATCATCCATCCATCCATCTATTTTGGGATGTGCTAAATGCCTGTTCTCTGTTGTAACATTAACATCAGTATGTGGAAACTCGGGTGGCTAAAATAAATCAGTGAAATGCAATATACATGACTTCACATGGAACTGAGTGTACATTGTTGAGCACCAGTGCCCTGTGCCCGCTCTGCCATGCCAGCCCTACAGCCAGGTACCCCCCATTCTGTCCCTCAGAAGTGGGGTGCAAGCAAGGCAGGCATGAACTGTGTGATGCCAGCATGTCCAGAGCCTCTGTTGTTCCTGAGCCGCCAAAATACTTTTGGTTGCCATTTAATGGCAGTAAAATGGATACTTTTACCAGCCTCAAATTATGGGGATTAAAAGATTTTAGTATTTCACTAAAGCATTTTTTTAAAATTTTTTTGCATTGTGGGCTTGATTGTTTGCTGAAGGCAATGAAAATTATATTGATGATGTGTGAGGTCCTGATTTTTGAGGCAACTGTCTTTCCTTAGCTTTTATAAGGGATACAGGCTTCCAACTAACCTGGGCTATTTTTCCAGCCTTAGTAGTACCCTCCTGATTCATGATAGTATGAATTAGCACATTCTCAAATTAGTTTGATTTTTGCTTTTAATGGAAAATTGAAAGGGGTAAGCTCAATCTTTATGGGCTGGAGTGTTTTCTGCCCACAGGGAATCAGTGGGAGACCTTCACAAAGTTGGACTTTGCTGAAGATGCTGCGTGGCCAATCCTGCCTTGGAGCCTCCTCTGGTCCATGGGAGTCTGGGCTGCTCCACAGAATGGTCCCGTGCCTTGACATTGATTTATCATCCACCATGACCACAAGCTCAGGGATGAGGAAGGAATACCCATGGCTGCTACCATCCCTGACCCTCTGGCTTCAGATAAATCACCAAGCTTGGAGCATGACTGCCCCAGAAAGAAGGAGAAGCAACTGCATTGCTCTGCTCAACGCGTGGCAGCTTGCTCCTCTCCTCTCCTCTCCACAGAACATTGATCTTCAAGGCCATACACAATTAAAGGAGTGGGAGACATTCCCTGGAATTAGCTGTTCCCTCTTTCGTTTTCCTGCTTAAGGTAAGAGCTGCACAAACTTCTTCTATAAGAGTCACCTAACAGAGAATACAATGACTGGTCTGTCATCAAAGTATTTAGGGATGGTGACGATACCTAGATTGGTTTTCAGTGTGTTTTTTGTTTTTATTTTACTGTGATGTTTCTACAAAATCCATAAATCATAGGGATGTGATAAGAAACAGGTCGCAGTTGCTGGTTATTCTTGTCCAGATGCACAGAAATGCCCTGATTGTTATTTTCCAATGACAACCAGCTCAGGGCTAAACATTTTTCAGTTGCACAGCCAGCTTTCAAGGTTACACATAGATACTGAATGAAACAGAGCCCACTGGTTATTTTTAGAGAGGCTCTAAACAAGAAGCAAATCCCTGTAGCAGTGCTGCCAGAGATGCATAAAGTTCAAATCCAAATTAAAACTGCCTATCTTTGGCCTACATTCCAGCTTGAACTTGAGGAAAACTGTGATCTGTGACTTGAACTTTATGACAAAAACTCATTCGCAATTAGTTTCTAATACCTGAGAATACATGAACTTGGCGCAAACACTTAAATAGAACTTGAATGAAAAATGTGAACACTTGTCCCAAAATGTAGTACCTGTTCTTGTGAGTTTTGTATGGTTTCAGTAGCTACACTGGAATTTGGAGTGTCTAATTTTTTGTGATTCTTAGTTCAACACATCTTTGTAAGATCAAGTCCTACAATGTAATTGTAAATTTTGGGGGCAGGAGGAGAAACATGCTTATTTATTGATCCTTCTAATAATCTGTGATGCTCAGGTCTAGGTTTAGCAGTGACCACAACAGACTATGAAGAAAGGAGACCCTTTGACAGCAGCATATTTATGCAAAGTAGTGCAACTGAAGCATGTTCTTGATTTCTTTGCTGAATCAGAGCCTGTATCTTCTTCCTGCCAAGGCAGCGATCTAATACCACTCCCAATGCACTAGTAATTCTAGAAGCCCTAACGAAAGTCAAGATAACACCACAGATTTTATAAATAAGGGTCTTTATTTAGAATACTGTTGAAAACATTCTTGGCAACCAAATCATATAAATATATAAAGTTAAAGTTTGACACAACAAACCAAGCAATATTAAATATTTTTAAATTTTTCCCCTTTTTAAGTTTTTGGTTTTTTCTTTTTTTTTTTTTTTTAATTTTTTTTCTTTTTTTTTCTTTTTTTTTTTTTTTTGGAAAGCAACTCTTATTTACAGTTATACAAAAGTTTTATAAAAAATGGTCCACAACCTTATTTTGGCCAGAACAGGAGTAATAGGAAGGATCTATCATGCCACTACTGCTGTAGATTTCTATTTTCCTCCACATTCAAGAGCCAGTTTCCTATTCCCCACAGCCCAGATTAAACATTGGCCATTTCATGGTATACGATTTTATCTCTAGACGCATTAAATAACTTTAGTTTAACAACCAATAAATAACTATGTGTACTTTGAAGTGATACAGGTTTGCAAAGTTAGATAGTTGAAGGAATTTTCAGTGATATTTTAAAATTGGAACAAGTCTTAAGAAGTCTTTTCAACCTTAGAAGGCAGGTCTTGAGCGAGGCCAAACGGAGCAAATTGGTTTTGGTGCAGTCCAGCTGGAGGGGTCCTTATAGCACTTGGTAGATGGGGTTGCTGCTGCTGTTATCCTGGGGGAGTGGGGTGCAGTTGGTGGGGGAAGGAATTTGGGCTCCAGCATCACTCAGATTCACTCCTTCTGGAGGGGAACAGGGACTCCCTTCAGCAACAGTTTCCACCGGAGGCAGTATAGGGCATGTGGAATTATCTGTGGAAATCCTCTCTACAATGCTTGAGAGGCAATCGAGACTGGAAACAACAGAATTCTTCCCATGCTTTGGATCTAAAAAACAGACAAAAAGATGCTCAGATTATCCAATGGGTAAGTAACATCAGTGGGCACTACACATTTGTGGGCATGTGAAGACTCAGGAAATGGATATTGGTGAAGGACACCAATAGTCAGAAAACAGATTATAATTTCAAAAAGGAAGAGAGGTCCAACCACAGTGTGCTGCTCTGGGGACAGGGAGGATCTAAGGCTTCACTGAGTCCATAGCAAGGGAAGAGCAGATTTGAAACCAATCATAAATTACTCCATTTTGGATCAATGATAGAGTAGGAAGTCTTCATGTAGAATATGGTTAAATGCTGAAATTAGTTGCAGGGAATAACTTACTTCTATCCAACTGTTAGAGTTGCAAAATGAGAAATACAGCTATAACACATCCCCATATTTGCAAATACACCTAGAGGAAATGCAGTGCCTCTACCAGCAACAATGGCTTGCTGGCTGGAAAGCCAAGCTCCTCTCTCAGCCCAGCTGGACATGGAGCAGGCACAGGAAAGCTGCTGCACTGCCTGCCTCTGTCTCAGTGTTTCACACTGCTGTTAGGGCACGTACTCACCGTTTGGGGACTCTGTGTAGTAGCTGCTATCATAGCTGTTCCTTCTGCGAGAGCTGCAAGGAGGCCCGCTGTACTCCATCTGGGAAGGAGAGAAATCCAAGTGAGGTCAGACTCTTACCCAAATCCCAGGAACCATCTAATTTCATATTTCAGGCTCTGGTCTGTTGCCATCATTCCAGTCCTGTCTGAAATGCCATCAACTTGTAGATTCTTTGAGTAAGGAAAAACTTGGCTAGAAGGGGTCCACCCCAGAATATTTTATGTGGCACAGCTGTTCCACAGTTAAGTTACCACTCTTGCATCGAATGCTGCAGCGTTACAGATGAGATGAGGCTTTCCAGCATTCTGATCAGATACAGCCTTTCATGTATCTTTAGTTTACAACAGGGAGACCTGAGTGTCCTGAGACCTGTGTGAAAGGGGAATTATGTCATTTTAATTTAGTTTTTGAAGATTTCTCTAAACATGAATTCCTCTTTACAAGCCTCTGTCTACCTTGTCCTTTTGTATTTCCTTCAGTTTCCCTTCCCATTTCCATTTCATACAGAAAATGCTCTAGAACATTGACTAATATATTTGTTTCCAATAGTTTAATCCACAATGAAATTCCCGTATTAAAAGAGGCTGTATCTTGAAGAGGAATAATTTGTGCAAATCTCTCCAATCTGTTTAGTATCTCATAATCACAGATACTCAACTCAGTAAGGACTATACCCACCAGAGCACAAAAAACCTTTCTGGTCTGAAAGAGCCTATCCAGAGAGCTGTCCTGGATTCTGGTCACCACATCCCACCAGCCCAGAGTTTGACCAGAGGCTGAACCTACAGCCCCAGCCAAAACACGTAGGGATGAGAGACCCTCTCTGGCACCCACCCTTCTTCTCCCATGCCCATAATGTACAAACAGGACTGAAAGCCTGGATTCTCCTTCCTATTGCTTGTAAATATCTATGGAGGGGATTAAGTGAGTGAGAAGAGAAATGGATAATCTTGTTCTTAAGGGTCAAGAAAAACAATTCTTGTTGCTTAGACACTCCTCCTGTTGTCATGATGAATGGCAGAAAACAAAACTCAGACTCTTACCAATTCCCGTGTAACTACCATGTCCTAGGGGGCCCTTGCTCTCTGCTGTCCTTAGAGGATTCAAAGGTAATGATACAGCAGAAGATGGAAACAGAGATGCCTCAGGAGCTATGGAATCACAGGCAATGCCCCCGGGTGCCCATTCCAGGCAGCTTCCCAAAGTTCTCCCCCAGCAGCTTTGCCTTGGCTCCTCCAGGACATGGGGAACCTGCCTAACTTCTTATCCCAGGGAACAATGTGTGTATGAGGTTCTTCTTGCTTCCCAGAGATCCTGCCATGTGGGGACCCCACCTCCCTTTGCTGCAGGTGCTCAAGGCACGAGAAAGGGCTTTGTCTTCTGCCTGGGGAGGTACAGAATGCAGCTGCTATAGGAAGGGCAGGAAGAGGTGACTCGCCCTGCTCAGGTTTGGACCAACAGCGTCCAGGGCACCTTGGTGACAGGGAGTCCTCCCTGCAGCACTCACCATGCCATCGGAGCAGTTGGAACGGGGGCTGGAGGCGTCCGACTCCCCGCTGTAGTGCTCCAGCACCGGGTAATAAGCGTCCTCCTGCTCCCGCAGCAGGGCCTGCAGGCTCTCGATGTAGCGGATGGCGTTGCGCAGGATCTCCACCTTGGGCAGGCGCTGGTTGGGGTTGGTGGAGGTGCAGCGCTTGAGGGTCTCGAAGGCCTCGTTGACCTTGCTGAGCCGCCGGCGCTCCCTCATGGTGGCGGCCTTACGGCGGTCGGCGTTGGTGGTCTTCCTCTTGCACGCCTTGCAGGCCCACAGCAGGCAGCGGCCAGCCTGGTGGTGCCCGCTGGGCGCCCGGACGTGCTCCTCCTCGTGCCCGTGGTGGTGCCCGTGGTGGTGAGGGTGCTCCTCGGGCTTCAGCAGACCCCCGACGTGCACCAGCCGGGGGTCCAGGTCCTCGAAGAAGTGCATGTCCGACGTGTTGAAGCACGGATCATCGTAGAAGTCATCGGCGGCTGTGAAGGAGCAAAGGGAGCCCTCCGTCATCTCCATGGGGCCAAGTAAGTCCATGGGGGCGGCAGACGGAACAGCGGCTAGGCCAGGGGGACAGCGAGGGGCTCGCAACGGAGGGGCCTTCGACCGGGCTGCTCTGCGGCCGGGCGGGTGCGCAGAGCCGAGACTCTCGCAGCCACTCCCAGGCGAGGCCACCAGCGCTGGCTGCTGCCCCGACCCCTCCGCAGCCGCGCCGGTCCGGGAGCGCCACTCGGGGCCGTATTTATGGCCGAGCCCCCCGGCGCGGCGGGTCGGGACGGGGCGGGTCGGGGGGCGCGGCCGGGCGGGTCGGGGGCCGGGGCGGCGGCGCGGGGGCGCGGTGTCCCGCTGGGGCAGGGGCAGCGGCAGCCCGGGCGCTCGGATGCGCTCAGGGCTACATTTCCCCGGTTTGTTTTTTTCCTTTCTCAGCAGCCCGCCCTGCCGCCGCACCAGGGAGCAGCGGCCCCGATGCCCGAAGGTGCCGCCGGCCGCTCGCCCGGGGGGACAGCGGCGCGCCCCGCTGTCTCCGCACGCACCCGTGACGGCTCCGCTGGCTCCTCGCAGGGAAGAAGCCCCCAGCCCATGGATATTTCTGTCCGCGGCTTCGCGGCCGCAAGGGTAAATACAGCGGGGGCGTTCGTGGGGGCGGGAGGCTCCAGGGGACACCCCGGGCAGCCGGGGCCGTGCGGGATGGCGGGGACACCGCGGAGAACCGGGAGGTGCGGGACAGAGGGAAGCGGGGACACCGCGGAGAGCCGGGAGGTGCGGGGCAGAGGGAAGCGGGGACACCGCGGAGAGGCGGGAGGTGCGGGACAGAGGGAAGCGGGGACACCGCGGAGAGGCGGGAGGTGCGGGGCAGAGGGAAGCGGGGACACCGCGGAGCGGAGGGACGGGCAGGTGGCGGCCACCCGGTGGCGCTGCGGGCCTGTCCCAGCGGGAAGCGCCGCCGTGCCCGCGGTGTCCCAGCCTTCCTTCCCCCGGGAATCCCTGGGAACTCTGGCATTCCGGGTTCCTCTTCCAGCTCTGTTCACTTTCACTCGGAAACCTTGGGAGAGATGGATCTCTCTCTCCGTGCCGCGGCGTTTTGCTGCGGTTGCGCTGCTGTTGGACGGCTCGCTCGATAAGGATTTATTTCTAGCAGTGGGAAAGTTTGGAACCTGGGGAAATGGGATGGGTTTTGGTAACGTCTCTCAAGGGTGCCAGAGTTTTTACTCTGGTTTTTTTGAGTATCATTTGAGATGGGAAATTAGGTTCTTCTCAGCAGAATTGAGTAATTCAACTATGTGATTTCTCCGACTTAATGATTAAAATAATAGTACATATATTTAATATCCCAAAAAGCTAAAAATAATTTCTGTTTTGCAGTTATAAACGTTGATGAAATTTCAGCTCATTCAAAATTAGCAGCAGAGCTCTGTTTTCAGTGGGACAGGGGGTTGAGCAAAAGGTAAAAAATATCCATCAATGATCAATTCCCAGTCCCTGTGCCTATGACCTCAGATGAGTTCTCATGGTGTCTTTTGTTGTTACACGATTTGTTTTTTGGCAAAAATTCCTTATCTGCACTCCCCATTTTCTACTTACCTAAATATCTTTGAGTACAGACCAAGATGAGAACTGTAAGTTGCATTCTGTCAGTATCTCTAAAAGATAAAAGTTTTATTTGAAGATAAAACTATATGTAGAAATTAATTCTTTCAATGTACCCGATGCTGAAAAGCAGTATGTCCCAAGGAGGGAGATCAGCTACTGGCCACCCCTACACATTTAGAAATGTATCTCCCAGCTGTGTCTGAGAGGCAGAGTGGCAAATTTGTGGAGACACTTCAATGTTATTACAGATGTTCTTTGATCCAGAAGGAATAGTTAGTTCTAAATCTTTATTGAACTGCTAACAAAGTAAAATAATATGTATTCAAAACAGTGCAATATATACAATTATGTAAAACAAATTTAAATGAGAAAGTTTTATGCTGTAACAACTGAACACGTAAAATGGGATATCAAGGCTTTGTGCTGGCAGTGTGACCCACTCAAGACACTTAAACTCTCTCCAGACCATTGGCTTAATTTTTGGAAAAAGGTAATTTTACCTTATGTTTAGTCAGTATTGTAGCCTATTCTGCCTCTGTGTGTCTGCAGCTTATATGTGACCCCAGGAAAAGACACTCAGGGACTTGAGTGAGTAGGGAGCAAAATGGGCAAAGTGGTAACAGTAGGGCTTGGACAAGCACTACAGGGAGTTTGCCAATAATTGCCCATGAATGTGGGCTCAAGTGCATTAATTCCTCCAAGTGACTAGGCTGTGACCACAGAGTGAATTCCACACAGTTGTCGTCCAGTGAAGGTGCCCTTGAGGACACCTTCCTTTGGGTTTGGACATGCTGGTCTCCAGACATCCCATCCAATCCTAATAATTCTGATTCTGTGATTCCCTGCTGGTGTCACCACTAACATCCACTTTCCAGTGTCATTCCCAAAGACGGAAAGATGTTGCCATGTACAATGAGGCCTGAAAAAACATCCTTGCAAAGAACAAACCCTGAGATGCTCTTCTCAGTTTTTTGTGGCCAAAGTGGAGAGGATGAAGGACAGAACAATCTCCACTTGGAGACTTTTAAGGGCATTCCTCATTCTGAGAGCAGGCAGCCATAGGTAGTGTTTATGGCAAGCATTTACAAGGATTCCATTGTTAAACCTCTTCAAAAGCCTCTGGGGCTCTAACTCATAATTTCAGTTAAGATAGGTCTCTCCTGAGCTTTCAGTTTGGATGCTATGTTTAGGATACTGGTGCTACACTGGCTATTCAGAGCTGTCCCAGGTTGTGTGTTTGGATTGTTTGGGCACTGCTTTGGAAGTACAGATCCAGGGAGTGTGGCTCAGCGAGTATTCAGCAGAGAAAGATAATTTGCAAAGTTTCTATAAGAGCTGATGCCCTTAACCTATTCTACATTCATCTTTGATATATTGTTTTTCAGGATGTGATTGAAAAGGAAGCTGGGAAGGCAGAAGTAGATTGTTCTTCCTACATTGAGAAACATGGATAGACTCATCCTATACACAACTGACAGGTATTGTTAAATCTGAGACCATACTCACAAGCGTGTGTGCTCTCTCAGCAGAAGCAGCATGTGGACAAGAGCTTAATATCTACAGTAGCTGATTGATTTCTCTTTTCTTTTTCAGAGGACAGAGGCTGGGGAAACAGCTGATTGTGAGTTTATCTGGAATTATCAGAATTGTCTTTAGAGGCAGAGGGCCCAGAACATGTTCTGGCAAAGGAAAAGGGAGAGAAAAAGACTTAAATTCCTAGAGTGTGTGGATACATTTGATTAGAAGATGAACATGAGAAGTCTGAGAAACAGACATGGCACTACTTCATGGAAAAATAAGAGGCAAGTAAGTCTGGCTCTGAAAAATGTAAAAGTCGGGTTCTTTGTTATGTTGGACTTTGTTAAATGCTGTAAATCATGGAGGAAGCTGTAACTACATTTCAGGTCATCAGCTTTTAAAAAGTGAAGGTTATTGTACAAGTAGGTCAAACATTACAAGTGGTAATGAAGTAGTTTTATACAGCAGTAGTTTAGAATTCAGTTAGTAGCTTTGCTCTGTTCACACTTAGTGGGCTGTTTTTTAATACGGAGGGGGACGGATTCCATTGCTCTTATTCATGTTGAGTTGCAGTCACTGGAACTAATTGTTGAATAAGGTATGCTCAGCATGAGGATGGGTGATGGAATCTAGCCCAGATGGAAATATCTTTTAGACTCCTGCTGTATTAGAGAGCAGCAATCTCAACACAGGCAAATCTAGTATGATTCTAAAAGTGCTTTGAGCCATTCCTGTGGCACATGGCAGTATTTTTACAGATGAATACAGAGGTTGTTTTAAAGTGGTTGTGTTCCCCATCCCCACCCCAAAGTTGAACCACATTCACAGAAAAGACTGGGAAAACATCTGCAGTGTAATTTTCTGTCCCATGTCAAAACACCAACAGAAGGTGGGCTTTGCAGAAATTGCTACTTAACTGTAGCTGTATCAGAGTTTACTAAAAATGTTTCGTGATGAAGTGCTTTAGAGTAAGGCAGTTTTCTGGCATTTATTTTCACTCTGTCACACTCTTCCATCATGCACAACTTCCTCAGATGCAGAAAAATACTTGTGCAGTTTTGTATACATATGCAAAATCTCTTGGAGAAGAATACCAGCATGCCTGGGTGGTGAATTGAGGAATACACTGGAGATACAGATATGGAACTGAATTTATTTTCAAGCAAAACAGGAGGCAGTCTTCTAATGAATCAAACCCCAACTGCATAAAAGATGTATATAATGACAAAAAATTCCTAACTGCAGGCAGCTGATCTAGCCAGTTGCTCTTCTTAGGTGACCTTGGGAGCCAGGGTGCAGAATGAGGCACTCTAGCAGGGGACTAACAAGAGGAATTTGGACACCTCTGCACTTGAACCAAGCTGGCTAACACTGCCCTAACTGAAAAGCAAAACTAATGAGTAGCCATTCTTTCTGATGCAATTCTAGTTAAGTGTGCTGTTTTTTCACTAGGCTCTCATGCCCCTACTTGGGACCAAAGAGGGAATATAAGAAGTAGCAGGAGTGCCACAGCAATTCCTTTAGAGAGCTAGCTGAGATAGGGCTCTGTATCATAATTAAAGCAATCACCCTACTTTAAGTCTGGACAAAATCCTAGAGCTACTCTCTTTGGTGACACTTGCAAAATATGCCTTAGAACCTCTAAAGTTCTCATCTAAGAAGAATTCCTAATTTCTCTCTCATCTTCTTTCTGAGGATGAGAAAAGCCAACTAGGCAATAACTATAGAGAAATCAGCACATTTTCTTATTCCCACTGTTGAGGAAATGTTTGCATCCTTCATTCTGAAGTATACCACTAGAAACAGCTGATCAGTAAATGCATTAGACTACTTATTTAAATTGCTAGTATGATAGAAGTAAGACAAAAAACCCATTGTTTTTGAATAAGTCTTTTAAAAAGTTCATTATGTTACTATACTTGTTAGTAATTTAAAATACCAAATAGTAAAATAAAATATTCAGTAATATAAAACTAAATATTGGGATTTTCTGCCATGTAAAAGTTTCCTTGCACTAAAGGTGCAGTGATTTATTTTTTATTTGATTTAATAAAATTTATATATATCTTCTTAAAATAATTTGCTCTAACTGGTCCTATTAATCATTTACGAGAAAGAAGAAGCTTAAAAACTGTTGGCTTCTAGGAAGAATTGCATAGATAAATGTGACAATCTAGCTGGCAACCTTGCTATCATTTAAAGCAAATAGTGGCACGGGCTAGATTTTGAGCTGTGACTCAGCGCAGGATGAGGGGATGGGGTGTATAGCATGAGGAGGGATGGAGCATCATGTCTCCTGAGTTTTGGTCCCAGCTCCACCCTCGGGACAGGTCTGCCTGAGGAGGTGCCCTGTAGCTGCAGCAGCCTGAGCATTAAAGGCCCTCCCTGCCCTGCTTCACCTTTGCTCCCGTGCCATCGTTACACTGTGGCAGCATCGTGGTGCAGTGTATGGTTGCATATATTGGCCCTATGCCATTTCTGTGCTGGGAGCATTCTCTCTGGGGTCGCTTCAGACCTTCTGCAGCTCCTGTGCACTGCTGGAGAGGCGGGCAGGGGCTGCAGTGATCACTGGACTCTGGCTCTAAGCTGGTCCTGAACTCTTTCTGCAGCCGGTCCATAAAGTAATCCCCAAGACTATTTCTGCCATCCTGGGAACAGTCAAGCCTGCGAGCATTGGTCAGCAGATCTCCCATCAGCTTGATCTTCTGGATTTTGGGCCCAATAAATTGTTTCTTGATGGTGCTTGCACTATGAGGGTCTGCATTTTCAACACTCAGGGCATAAAGCTCTTCAAAATATCGTAGCATAGTTTTCCATTGTACCATTGCTAGTTCCAGGGCTTTCATCAGACCGACTGCATAATCACAGTTTGGTTTCTGAAAACAAAGACAGAATTGTATTTACTCAGAAGAACAGCTCATGTATCTGTATTCATCAATGGATTCCTGCAACTTAACCTCATGCTCTAAAAATGTTGTACTAGGATTTTGCAACAACTGCTTCCAGTTTGGAGCATCTATTGTTTTTTTCAGGCTGTAAACACAAGTGGCAGAACCCAAGCACTTCTTCAAGGAACAGATTTACATAGCAGCAACTATGCCTGAAGAGGGTTCTTACACCAGGAAACCCAATCATAGAATGGTTGGGGCTGGAAGGGACCTTAAAATGATCTTGTCCCAACCCTCTACCATATTCCACTAGACCAGGCTGCTCAAAGGCCCATCCAACCTGGCCTTGAACACTCCCAGGAATGGGGCATCCTCTACTACTCTGGGCATTTTTTTCTAGTGTGTCATCACCCTCACAATGAAGAGGGACTTTCTAACACCTAGTCTAAATATCTGCCCTCTTCCAGTTAAAAATTGTTATCCCTCATCTTAACACTGCATTCCCTGACAAAGAGTCCTTCTCCCTCTTTCCTCTAGGCCCCTTTTAAGTACTGGAAGCCCTAAGCTCCTCCTTGATGCAAACTGAGTATTAAGAAAGATTTTTACAATAGCCTTTTTACTTTCTACAGCTTAACTGCTATGATGGACCAAAGAGGAGCATTCTGTGTTAACTAGAATCAGCCTCTTGGTCCTAAACAAATGAGGTGGGTTATTTTTTTCCTGAAAACATTTGAGTTATTCCTTTGCACCTGTGCAAGCCCAAGTTAGATCTTAGTTCAAATTCTGTCACGAGCTGTACTTTAGGAAATCACCTACTGCTCCAAGCTGGATGGTTCTCCTTCCTTACCACTCTTCTTAGGTGCTAGTCATGTCTAAGCTTCCACTTAGGTTGTGTGAAGTAGACAAGTGGGCTATTTCAGCACAATTTAAGGAGTCATAATCCACTACAGCATAGTGGAAACAGCAGTGTCCAGCTGAGTAAAAGAAAAGGGGAACACTGTCCATATTATTTTGGGCTGGAAAGCAACCCCATAGAGTTAGGACTGTATGTCTGACAGTTTCTAGGCATCACAATCAAGAACAAAACCGTGTACACAAGTATGCCAGATAAATTATATCTGGAAATCTAATAGTGAATGAATGCAGAGATCAGAAGTACCAACAATATAATTCAGTAAGTTAAAGGGATCACAGCTGCTTGAAAATTTGTTGACTACTACCCACCTGGATGGTTTTAGAGCAGTAATGGCCTCCTCTTTCCTGCTGATACTTCATCAATGCCTCTGCGGCTTTTCTCTCTTCCAGAGCTTGATGCAGGAAGAACTTCGAAATATTTGGTAGAGCCACATGTGACTGATCAAAATATTCACCCTAAGCACACAAAACAAGAGTGTTAAGATTTGCCAGATATGGGACTCACCTGCAGCAGAATGTGGCTTTAACAGAACTTGGGAGACCCTTCCAAAGGAAGGTGATTTGTTCACAAAGCACGATCACTTTGGAGACCTTGATCCGATTTCTGCAATAAATGACGTGAGTAGTTTGAGTATGAAATGAAAAATCTGTGCTTCTACTAGAACTCTTTCTATCCTTTAGTATTGGTCACGCAACTGTAGTAATGATGTTGCTCTTGCAGGAGCAGTTAAGAGATCTTCAGAATGTTTTATTTATGAATTGTTAGCATGTGTGTGTTTTGCAAGTGTGTTTTGTGGAGGGTTTTTGTTTTTTAAACATACTCCCAGAACAGGGAGCATAAAATTTATCCCTGCAGGCCTGCATTCCAGTCAAAAGTTAGCTCTCAAAGGTATGAGAAAGATGAGGCAAATACCAAAAAGAGAACAAGCACAACTTTATATCTGTTTATCAGTTTTATTATGGACAATGGTATTCCAAAATAATGGATACTGCTACTGAACTATACACCTTCAATATAAGATATAACTCATGTCTGGGAAGGCATCTCAGGAAGAACATATATCTGTTGGAGCAAGTCCAGAGGAGGGACACAAAGTTATCAGAGGGATGGTGCACCTCTCCTGTGAAAGGCTGAGAGAATTGGGTTTGTTCAGCCTAGAAAAGAGAAGGTTCTGGTGACCTAATTGCATCCTTCCAGTAACTATAAGAAACATGGAGCGGGAGTTTTTACTATAGCATGCAGTGACAGGGCAAGGGGGAATGGCTTAAAACTGAAAGAGCAAGTTTGGATTAGATATTTGGAAAAAGCTCTTTACTGTGAGGATGGTGAGACACCAGAACAGGCTGCCCAGAGAAGATGGCTCTGAGCACCCTGGTCTTGGGAAAGGTGTCCCTAACACATGGCAGGGACATTGGAACCTGATGGTCTTTAAGGTCCTTTCGAACCCAGGCCATTCTGTAATTTCAGAAGTATTACAACCCTAAATCCTCTTCTGGCCTTGTTCTGTTCTGTATGGGAAAGTAACAAACCACTGCCATATTTAACCATGCTAACAGACCTAACAGCTCTTATATTTAGAATATTTTATCCATGTTATGGCTGTCTCATAAAGAGAAGTATTACAGGCAGGTAGCAAAGGAGAGCCAGCAGGTTACACTGGCTGGAACACTGGTTTTGCACAGCTCTGATGGTGAGGAGAATGAGAGGCAGCAGCTGGGACTATGCCAAGAACCAAACTGAGGGAGCTACAGCATCCTGATCTGCTGGTGCCCTGACCATGTGTGTGCAACACAGCACAGCTTCTGTCCCTTGGGCATGTGTGTGCAACACAGCACAGCTGCTGTCCCTTGCACATGCTCTGCACCAGAGTACACATAGCTGCATATCGAGCTGTTGGCTTGTAGCCTGCCTAGGAGGGGCAAGCAACAAGTATGTGCATTTCCTACGTTCCTCTGCTTCTGATAGTCTTCTCTGGTTCCCTCTATTACCCTGCTTAAATAGGAAATATTTTCATTTCACCCATGTTCAGAAATAAAATGAAGACATGTCAAACACACAAGTATTTTCTCTTATATTTTTAGGGATAACCTAAACCTGTGACACACACAGACGCACGCGACCATAAACCATTGAGAAGAAAGCACATACTGGAATGTTTTATTAAGAACATTCATTGCTTTATTTGTAGAATCCTTTTCCTCAAGTCACCCATTCCTGTTTCTGTTGGCAGCACAGCCAAGATTGAGTGTTTTATAAGCAGCTCCTCTGTGAAAGTTTGCAGCACAGCTTCAAGTGGAGTTCAAGTTAACACATCTGCTTAACTGTTAAGGTAAATGTCTTTTATGTCACTCATTCACTATTTAGGATGTTCACATTTCTAGGTTTGATTTATCCACAGTCAATTTCTAACTGAGTTTTCTCCATCTCATCCAGCTAACAATCACTACAACTTTTTTCTTCCACAGGCTTAACAGGTTTTACTGCATACTTAAATTTTAATTGAACTTATACTTGACACCAAACTCAACTGAAAGATCTTGGGGATATACTGAATATCGTTTGTGTTGCTTCCCCGTGGATGCTTGCCATCAGAAGGTATGGCATTGATAATTTTGATTTTTTAAAAAAATTTAATATCTCTGTTAAGTTATATGCTTGCCTTATATGTAGCCAGATGCAATTCTGACATGAATTTGACATGGTATCAGTGATACCTTTTATGATTTCATGTCCAAAGTTCATGCCTGTGGAGCAAGAAACCCACAGACTACAGTTAACCACACTCAACTATTCACCAAAGTTATGAACTCAAGCGTTATACTCCAAAGCTGTTAGCATCCCCTGTTCCTGTGCCTTTTCCCCAGGCAAGAGGCCCTCTGTGAATTACCCAAAACACCCGAGCGCTCGTTTCACGGCCCGCGCCTTACGGACCTTCCTTCTCCTTGTCTCGTGGCCGTGCGCGGCTTTGGCAGGAGCGCTGCCGCCGGCGGGCTGGGGAGCCCGGAAAGCCTCCAAACCCCGTGTCAGGACACAGGCACGGCTGTGCCGTCCCCGCCCGACTCCAAACCCTCCTCAGCCGGGCTCCGGCACTCCTCTCCCCTCCGCCGGTGGCTGCCGGCGCAGACAGCCCGCCGTGCCCTCCCGCGGCCCGCCGCCTTACCAGCGCCTGCAGGCAGTAGTGCAGCTCCAGCTGGGCGCCGGTGAGGCCGCAGAGCGCCTCCTCCACGGCGGGCGGGAAGCCGTGGCGGACGCGGCTGCCGGGCAGCGGGCGGTGCGCGGGGCAGGCGGGCAGCGTCACCCGCGGCCGCTTGGAGCGCGGCTCGGCCATGGCCGGCGCCGCCATGGGCCCGCCGCGCCGCCGCCGCGCCGCCTGATATAGCCGGGCACCTGGGACACACCTTGCGAGCTGCCGCCCGCCCTCCGAGGGAGGAGGAGGAGGAGGAGGATGTGGGTGTGCGGATGCGGGCGGGCCCTGGGCAGGCGCGGCGGGAGCGCAGACAGCGCTGGAGAGCCCGCGGGTGCCGGCAAACAGCGTGAACAGTGAATGATTGGCATAAAGGATTCACCCTAACAATTAAGTAGATGTGTTAACTTGGCCTCCACTTGAAGTCGTGCCGCACGCTTGTGCTGAAGTGGTTAAAAAACAGTGAATCTTGGCTATGAGTGACTTGAGGAAAAGGATTCTGCAATGAATGTTCTTAATAAAGCATTCCAGTATCTTTCTCTTAAGTGGTTCATGATTACACGTGTACATGTGTCACAGGTTTGGGGTATCCCAAGATGGTCCTACAAACATAAGAGAAAAACATAAACTTGTGTGTTTAACATGCTTTCATTTTCTTTCTGAACAGAGCAATACAGCCAAAATGAAAGTATTTCCTATTTAAGCATGTAGTGGAGGAAAGCAGGGAAGACTATCAGAAGCAGAAGAACGTAGGAAATGCACATACTTGTTGCTTGCCCCTCCTAGGCAGGCTACAAGCCAACAGCTCGATATGCAGCTATGTGTACTCTGGTGCAGAGCATGTGCAAGGGACAGCAGCTGTGCTGTGTTGCACACACATGCCCAAGGGACAGAAGCTGTGCAGTGTTGCACACTCATGTGCAAGGGACAGCAGCTGTGCAGTGTTGCACACTCATGGTCAGGACACCAGCAGATGAGGATGCTGTAGCTCCCTCAGTTTGGTTCTTGGCAAAGTCTCAGCTGCTGCCGCTCACTCTCTTTGACATCAGAGCTGTGCAGAGATAGTGTAACCTGCTGGCTCTTTTTTGCTTCCTGTCTCTAATATATTGTCTATATGGGGCAGCAATACCGTGGATAAAACTCTTGTAAGGAAACAGCTAAGCCTTTTTCCAGGCAGTCACATTCAGTACCTCTGGTTCCAGCAGTAGCATCTGAGATTGTGGCCAGGCTGGGCTGAGGCTGGAGTGGCTGGTGAGAACATGCAGGCAGAGGCATGTTCTTACCTCCCTCATGGTGGGGGAGTGAGCTCTGAAAAGTCCTGGCAATTTAGCAGTGTGTGTATATGTCTTTGCTGCAGGGTAAATTCTTTAGGTTTTTTGGTTTAGTGCTAAAAATGTTAGTGCTGAACTGGTCCTACCTATGCTTCTTAAACTATCTTCAGTATTTTAGTAACCAGTAACCCTCAGCTCGTACAGCAACTTCAAATACACATTACTGATTTTTTCAACTGTTTTACCACGTGGATGGAGCTCAGCATTTCTTGAGCATTTCTTTACATTTAATAGATTCAGACCAGTGGAGAGGAAATACGAGTAATCTGAACATCCTTCGAAATTAATAATTTTCTCTTCAGTGACTTTGTCTAGTAAGCTCAATGTTATGTGCTGTTTTGTGGAATATTTTTCTAGATGACCACTCCCCCACCAACCCAGGATGCTAAGGACAGAATCATTTTCCATTGCCTGTTTTAATTGTTATTGGATCTGACTGCCTAGAACCCAGCATGCATCATCTGACAGTAGTCACGTAGAGATATGAGAACATTGCTCATGAGAAACTTAAATAATTCTTGTTCATTGCCTCCATCTCATATGCTAATTCAGCCCTCTTTGTTAGCTGTTTTATCCATTTTTTACTTCTGAGTCTTCATGTAGTTAAATCAGAAGTTTAGCTTAAAAAAAATCAAACAGCATTTAAGCATTTGGCTAAAATTTCATGTGAGTAATATAGCTGTAATGTTTGCGAGGCTGAAATAAAAAGTCATTAAATGTCAATATATTGACAAGAAACTTGAGGAACATATGACCTTATTCTGAAGTTCTCAGTAGGCATCCTCTTCTTCAAAGTAGCTCTGGGGACTTTTGCTGGGAGGACATACCTCTATCAACTACCTTTTAGTTCCTTCCATTCCAACTGCCCTTGTTTTGGCCTGTAAAGTAGTTGGCCTGTAAAGTAGTTGCTAGTGTTTTATTAATAGAATAATAATAATATTCAGAATAGTCCCTTGGTTCCCTCAGAGGAGGAGGAAGAAGAGCAAGTGTGATGCCTCTGTGTGTGTATGCACTGACATCCCAACCTAAATAAATACTTTATGGCCTCCTTTCTTTGAATAACTTGAAGTGTGAAGTAGCAATAGCAAGCAAATTCGCCAGTGTCCCTGTGGAAAAGTTTATGGTTGTATTTTGTTCACTGGGCATTTATTATGATAATTTCTGGGCAGATCATCTCATAGAGGTTTATCTCTGCATTAGTGGGCTTTGGAGCCTTGGAAAACAATATTAAATTATCCCATTTCAGTGGTGGACAGCTAAGAGACAAGAGCAGTTCTTAAGGTCATCTGTGATGCATGGAGCTGATCTGAAAACTGACTCAAAAATTCTTTATACTCCTTATGTTCATTTTCTAAGAACACCATTCAGTTTATTTTGCTTTGTGCTTCATAGAACTAAAGTAAATACAGACCATTTGCATGGTTATCAATTGTATTATGGAAAAATTCCATGACAAAGTGATATAGGGATTCTTGCTACATAGCATGAGCTATGCTATTTGTATCTGGACTGGGGAAGGTATCATCTGCTCCAAAAGCTTGTGCCCTCAAGAAATGCAGCATTCCAGGGAGCTGGCACTTTGTTCAGTTTCTTAGTTACAGCTTTTCAGCACAGAATCACAGAATATTCGGAGTCGGAAGGGACCTACAAGGATCATCCAAGGGTTGGTTACAGGCACATGCCTTGATAAAAGGTATCTTTTCATTTTTATGATTTGGTATTATTTTGGTACAACACATTTTAAAGTGTGTTGAAAGTGTATTGCAGAGTGGGAAGCCAAAACACCACAGTGTGGAATACAGAACTACAATTAAAATTCCATCAAAATAAGCTCTCTTACACACAAACCCATACCTTCTCTACTTCTCCCCACTCTTTTTCCTGCTTATTCTTTGGTAGAGTGCAGTAGAGAGGATTGTTTGTGTCACTGAGCTTTATCAGCCCTCTCAAAATATTCTTTCTCCTGAGCCTACTTTGCAAACATTTAATTGTATCTGGCCATTTTCTACCCTGATTGTCTCATTTAAAGCTAGATTATTTTGGCTGCGCTTTGTGATCTGGAGTTGGTATTGTTTATTCTTTCACCACAGGTAGTAAGAGTTGTGGCTGTTCCTTCTCTTCAGCTACCATCTGTTTGCTTCTTTCTAGCTGTGATGGGTTTTTCGTGTGCTTTGCAAAAAGTCTATCTAATGCTGCCAGAGTTTTCTCTCATTCAGTGCCCATCAATAGCTATGATGAAAACAGAGGGCTGTGTAAGAAAAAAGGAAAAAACAAATAAATGTATGATATGTATGCTTGTGAATTGGCCTTCTTCATTCATCATTTTGTTTTGTAATTAAGTGAAACCAAAGCTCTCTGGCAGGAAATTAAGAATGATTCATATGAGCACCCATGAATTCATGATTGCTTTTATTGGACTTGAAGTCCCTTAACCCATTTTTCTTACACTTTTCTAGTCTCAACAGGTGCTTCATCTCACTATTTTTTCTTTTTTTTGCTTCCTTTATCCACAGAGGAAGAGCCAGCAAGATTTCTGAGTTGTTTTGTTGCCTTTTTGCACTGTATGACTCATAAAGTTAAAAAAGAAGCCTGAAATTTGGAATGTTAGTACTTAAGTAAGCGTAGCAAAATAACCTCTTTTAACTGACTTTCAGTAAAAGTGGTCACCAGCAAAACATGAGATGGCCCTGGAGAGACAACAGTGTTGTGACCAGGCTGCAACATGGACATTCTGGAAAATATTTTTTGTCTCTTTGTCACTGACCAAATGCAAAGGGCCAGTTTGCTTATAGTGCTCTGAAATCAGCATGTTTTAGTGATACAAGAGAGGGATTGCTCAAAAATAAAGCATAGTCTCTTTGAAACCAGTCTTGTTGCTGTCAAACAGAACAGCCAGAAGCCTGTATTTTGGGTTTATACGTACTGAAAATTACTATACTGTGCCAGATCTGTGCATATTTTGCATATATTCAGTTTAATAAAATGAGGTAACGTAATGAAATTCAGTTTGAAAAATACTTGGATTAACTTTTAATTTTGAAAGTAATTTTTAGTGCCTTTTTTTGGCTTTTTTTTTTTTTAAGCACTCGCCTCAAATACTCCAAGCCTTAGTTTTCATTTGCTTTCATTTTCTAGAGTCCCAAAAATTTCTTCCTGTCATTGAGATTTTTGTGTTTGCCAAACATCCGTTACTGCAGTGTTTGAAGCCAGATGAGGTGTTTGAGGATGTTCTCATCGCTGGAAACAGCCATGTCTTTTTTGCCTTGAGTTTTCCCAAACGTTGCTTCAGTAGCTTGATAATGTTGCAACACTTTTTGTTCTGTTGTAACTTTTATCTCAGACAGTTTCCACAGGCTTCCCAGGCACAATTCTGCATGGCACAGATATTGAAATGTTGGCTCATTGCCTCTATTCTTTGGCAATAAAGTTCTTCCTTAAGGAACTTTCTGAATGCTGGATAACATAAAACATTGTGATATATATATGGAATTCTTTGAAACTTCACTGATTGAAATCTGTCATTGAAAGAGAATATGCCCACAGGCATATCTCTGCTGTGTCTAAAGCTAACATAGGAGACAAGCTTGTAAGAGTTTCTGAAATGCAAGCAAAACTTATCTTTGACCTTGTGTCACAGAATACATATAGGAGGGTTTTCTAATCCATGCTATTTTCTTTTCCGCAGTATTTAAGTTGGATTATCTGTAGTTAATGCTTGCTGCCACCATGGGACCCTTCCAGGAGCAGAGTTTGGAGATGGACAGCCTCTGCTGCTTCTCAGTCAGGAGCTGCTCTGGGGCTTTGGTGTACAGGGCACATCCTGCCTGTGTACCACCAGCCCTCGCCCTCCTGTCCCCAGGTGCCCCTCCTTTCTTCTCTTTCTCCCTGGGGGCTCTTTCCTACTGCTGCACAGCCACAGTGCTCAGGCAGACTCATCCTCTCCCTTTCTTCCACTCTCCCTTCTCTGGACCCTGGGGAAAATGGTGCTAAGAGGAGGTTTGGGATCTGTGTGTAGCTCTGCAGTCAAGCCTAGAAGATGTAAGTGCATCTTAAGTGCATTGACAAACTCTTGCTGTGACTGTTGTGCCCCAGCCTTGTTAGCATTTGCCACCTTCATCTTTCCCATATCATCTCAAGTCCAGCTGCACGTGGCTGTGTTTGTGTGACTGCCTACATGTGTGGGGCTGCAGATTAAACTGGGCTGTGGCCACTGTTTAACTCATGTCTACAGGCTGTATGTCACTATTTTCTCTTAAGCACTTACCACTCTGCAATTTTAAATGTTGACAAATCCCGTACACTGAGTTGTTCACTGTTGTCTTTTCTCCTTGTATTCACAGAACCATCACACGTCCTGACTCAGCTTGCCAGCTCGGCCGTGTCTGTAGGAGCCCAGGCTCTGGCAGCACCGAGGAAGGCCATGGCTGGGACTGGGCAGAGGCAGCAGGGAGAGCTGGAGCCCAGGGGCAGCCTGTGCTCCCAGCTGGTGGCTGCAGAGGAGTGGCAGCCTGGCTAAGGAAGCTCCAGCCTGGCTGGCAGCATTGGCTCTTCCATCTCCATTTCTGCTCTTACTAATACACTTGAGTTTTAAG